CCAGGTCCACTCTTCTGGTGTGATCAGAGGACCACATCACACCCTGAAGATCTGTATCTGGGCTTCTGTCAGCACAGACGGGAGGGAGCCACGGTGGTGGATGTGAGCAGAGACAGTAGCAGGAAACAGGCTGCTCCACGGGGTGGGGGTGGGGAGCTCTCTTCTGAGGGGATGTGTACTCAGGAATTATAGGGCTCTGACATTTTCTGACTTGAGTGACCACCCCTAAGTGCTGTATGGCACCTTTCTAAACAGAAGCCGGACCTCTCCCATTGAATGGGGACACGTGTTTTACTCAAGGTAGACTCTTGATTTCGGGGGATATAAGTCTGGTGTGAATTAGCAGAAAAGGAAACGTTAGAACATCGGGCATGGTGACATCTGAGGAAGGGCTTCCTTGATGAGAACCTGGAGCTCTCCATGCCAGGAATGTTTCTGCTTCCTTCCTCCCAAGGATCAGCCACTCCCATGGCAAGGCATCCCATGGCTTTCACCAGCGGAGGGAAGCCCTAAGGCACGACACTGGCTGGAGTGAAACTGGGAGTACCTGGTGCTGAGCATGTTGTCAGGCCATGCCACCTGCCCAGGGAGAATGGAGTGAGCCAGGCAGCTGCCCCCCCTACGGCCCCATGCCTGCCGCAGCAGGGCAGTGGGTTCCTGGCCCTGGTGAACACCACTTCTGAAGGTCCTCCTGGTACTGCTGCCGGATGTCGCAGTAAGAAGGCACCGTCCTCCAGTTCACTCGAGCAGACATTTATTGAGCACCTATCAAGTGCAAGGCACTGTGCTAGGTGCCACAGAAATACAAAGAGGGAGCACAGACGTCCCTGCCCACGAGGAGCTCACAGTCTAGAGAGGGAGGTACACAGTCAACTGCAGCAACACCAGCCAGAGCCACACGTGCTGGAAGCGAGACACAAAGTGCTGTGGGGCCACAGAACACCATGGGGCTGCTTCTAGTCAGAGCACGGGCAAGGGTGGGCTTCTGAGGAGGAAGCCATCTGGAAGAAAGGCATTTCTAGCAGAGAAGAGGTCCAACACAGGAGGAGCCCACAGGAACTGAGGAAATCTGTGTGGCTGGGTACAGTACACAAAATGGACAATCAAGTATGGCCAGAAGGCAGACAGTCATGAATTCTAGGCCCACGGGCTCTGAACTTGGTGCTCTGGTTACAACATGGGAAATCACTCAAGAGTAAGAGGGTGGCCAGAGGGGGGCTTCTGGAAGATAAACCCGGAACACTGTGCATTCTGGAGAGGGGGAACTAAAGAGGTAGGCTGAGCAGTCAGGAACCAATGCCCTTGGAGAGGGCTTGAGAGCGACTAACAGGCAGTGGTAAGCAGAGGGCAACCTCACAGGGCCCCGAAGAGAGCGCATGGGGAAAGAGAAAGAACAACAGATGCAGGACAAGGGTCTAGGGAGTTTGAGGATTCCACAGGGCTGGTGACAGGACTAGAATAGCTACAGAAGGAGAGTGGAGTTACAGAATAGTGACCCCTAAGGGTGAATGCAGTTTCTCAAAATGTGATCCATGGACCACCTAAACGGGAATCATCAGGGTGTGGTCCTAAAGCAGCGGATTCCCAGGTTTTCCTCCACAGCCACTGAGTCTACACCTCGGGGTGGAGCCCAATAATCTGCACTTTTAACTTTCTTCAGTGCTGAGGATTGAACCCAGGGCCTCGTGCCTGCTAGGAAAGCCTGATACCACTGAACTACATCTCCAGGCACAATCTGCTTTTTCAAGGAGAGCCTCATAGGTGGCCCAAAGGTTGAGAATCACCTGTAAGACAAAGAGAACGTATTAAGGATTGGTCTTTAGGTAAAAGAAAAGGAATGAAGACTGTCTAAAAAGGGAAAATGTGGACAATAAGGCCAATGGTATCAGATGTTGGGTGGTTGAGTGTACATATCAAGATGAAGAACTGAGAAGAGGCCTCTGGACTTTCAATCTCGTAGCCCTGGAGGTTCTTCCTGGACTACTTTCCAGTGATGGGGCAGAAACGAAGTTTGCAACCCAGGATTAGAGAATGGGAAGTTGAGAGAAGCATCAGCAAGGAATGAACACGACTCCTCAGACACACCAGGCTATTTAGTTTAATCTAAAGGATCAGAAAAACATGGAGAATAATGGGGAGGTAGATAATAAAAAAAGAAGTTGGGGAAAAAAAAGAAATGGAGGTAAGCAGAGTAACTGAACAAATTAGGATTATTCAGAGACACTGGAGGAAAGCACAGGTGAGGATGAGGAAGCACTGATGAGAGATGGAGGTGAGAAGAGATTCCCAATGGAAGACCACACCCCAGAAGTGAGGGGCGCAGGCTGGGATCCGAGGTGGGCTAGTGCCTGGAATGACTGCCCGCTTGGGGGGAGCCATGGGGCGTGTGGCAGGGATTAGAAGAGCATTATGGAGGGCCTGGGTTTCCATGTGTTACACCCTTGAGTCCTCCTTCACATTCCACAAATGCCACAACAAGTCTACAAAAATGACTCTATTCCAAAAGCTGTACCCCGGCAAGAGTCCCTGGCAACAGAGCTGAGCCTGTTCAACAATGCTGGCCCTTCACCAAGGATGGCCGATGCGCACTTGATACTCCCGACTGGCAGACTTTAGGGTCTAAACACATGCCATTTGACAGATTGTCTTTTTTATTCCCAGAGACGGTATCTGGGGCCTAGGAGAAAATACAGGGCCAGGAATCAGTCAGCTCCACCAGCTACTTGGGCTTTGACCTGGACAATCGTTCTGAGCGTCAGACACTTTGTGGGCTGAATAAGAGACATACTCTGTCCCACCAGCCACCTTGCATAAATGACATGACACACAGAAGGCAGAGCCACTCCATGTAAAAGCAAGAAGGAATTACAATTACAAGGAAGTGCTCCTGCTGGCACTCCTAAAGTCACAGGTGGGAGAAATCTACTCAGGAGGTAGAGCATCTACAAGTCTCTAAGCAACAGAACCCAGTTGAGAGGAAGTGGCTAACAGGTCATGAGCTTCCTTTAATGGTTTGATACTGGTTTTCTTAATGGGGTTTTAAATATTTAACTTAAATAAGCATGATTAATTTCAGAAAAACAAACATGAATTATATTCCATGTTATAATTTACAATATAATGCATTTCTGTACTCTTCCCATTTCCTCTTCTCCCCTCCCATATTCAAGAAAAGGGAAGAGGGTATGTAGATCTCTCAGAAACAATACTAAGTCCCTGTGGCAAACATCTATAATCCCAGCTATCAGGGAGGTTGAGGCAGGAGAATCAAAAGTATGAGGACTGCCTGGGCAATTTAGCAAGACCGCTCTCAAAAAGGGCTGGGGATGTAGGTAAGTGGTACAGCACTTGCCTGATGTGTTCAAGACCCTGGGGGCGGGGGGAGTCCAGGACAGTGGTACATGCCTATAATCCCAGCGACTCAGGATGCTGAGGCAGAAGGATCACAAGTTTGAAGCCATCCTCAACAACTTAGCAAGACCCTGTCTCAGAAACAAATAAGGTCTGGGAATGTACATTGGTACAGAGTGCCTCTGGGTTATCTTCAGTATCCTCACCCACCCAAAAAGAAAAACCCAATACCAAGAACACAAAGGCTTACAGAACTCTGAGGCCAAGTTCAAATTGCTTCTAGAGCCTAGAAAATTCATGACCCTCTCAGCCTAGCCAACTCTACCTGACATTAGTGGAAGCTTAGCCCTGGCAATCGAGATGAGTCTCCTGTGTCACTTTTCTAACATGGAAGAGAAATAAAGGGGTTGGTGATATGTTGGACTAAATCCTGAGCCTGGAGGTAAGAGTCAACAGCTGGCCTCAGCCCTCCCACCTCTGCTGTGCTTCTGGAAACAACCAGCTGTGAAGCTGAGGCATAGGTGACTATGACTAAAGTCAACTCCCTGGCTCACTTCAAGTCTCCTGCCTCTACTTCCACAGCTGGCTGAATTGGCAACCTGTCCAAAGTGACAGTTGACAACTACTTTTGCATTATGAGGCACTGTCAAGGCATCTGGGCAAAAACATGATTGAAATACAAGTCTGGCCACCTGGAGGGTTCTGGGTTCCTCTCTTGAAGAATGCCACCCAGGTCCCACACCATGAACACCAGCAGCAAGCCCTCAGCCACTATTTCTGGGTGGAAGAGAGACACGAGCTATAGGCTGGACACGAAACTGACTGAGAGCAGCCCAGGGAGAATGCAGATATAAGACAAAGCCCTTTGAAGGTCCAGTAATAGTAAAGATGTTAAGAATTATACCAGAAAGGAATTTCACTGACAATTTTGAGCGACACTGAAAACAGACAATACTAAGATAAATTAGCTCTGGGAAAGACTCACAGGAAGAGCTGCTAGCAGGATACCAAAGAGAAGAACACATAAAAATAAACTGAGGGGCTCTGGGCCCCACAGAGGCTACTAATGCTATTTATTGGCTGGGGTCATTCTCAAGAATAGAAACTTTTTTGGCAAAGCTGTACAAACTCCACATGTTCTTCCATGGTTAGGGCCAAAAGCTGGCCACAAATATTGGGTCCTTCAATAAACATCTCAGACTCCCAGGTCTTCTGAGGCTAAGACAAGACTTCAAGAGCCAAGTAGGTGTATGGAGGCCCAGGTGAGGTGAGTGTGTCACGGCGCTGGGTGAGCAGTCTGCCCCTGCCTGGCTGCTCTGTGGCAGTGGCTGTGGGCATGTCCTGACAGTGAGAACTCTGGGCCTCAGCTGCTTCCTCTGTAGGATGGAAAAGGAAGAAAGGCGAGACCACACTAGCTCTCAAGCTTCTTCTAGCCCCGATATTCTGTGAGTCTAACTTTGCCCTGGTCATAAACAATGGCTAGGCAAAAAGTGCCATCTAGTGGCACCACTTGTCCACTCTCACAAATGGCTCCAACAAAAGACCCCGTAGGAGGAAACCAACCCCAACTCCCGGGGGAGGGCAGAGGCGGCAGGAGAGGGGAGCACACTCCATGTTAGTGGACAGGATATATTCACCTCAAGAAAATATACTTTAAGAGGTCTTGCTTTCCTTAAGAAAGCAACTCTTTTTTATTTAGAAATGCTAATCATATCCATTTGTCAATATCTTCAGCTTTAAGGAAAATAGTTTAAAAAACATAAAAATGTAAATACACTCAAGAGTAACTGCTATTAAACAGTTCTGAACAGGCAGAAAATGTAGACTTTCCTTTTACAGAAAATGTTAAATCTGTAATAGCAGCATAATTTATATATAGAAAAAAGCTGGTTTTGAAAACCGAGGTTTTTTTATACACAAAACATCTTTTTTTTTTTTTCCTTTTCTTTTTTTCTCTTTCTCTATATACTACAACAATGTTTACACTGGGAAACAGGTTTTTTCACATTATGGTACTTCCCATCACGTATAGCCATTAGCTCAAGTTTGATCCCTTGGCCATGAGCTCAAACTTCTCAGCACAGTCTTCAATCTAACACCATGGCAGAGAGCGCATTTAGATCTTTCATGTATGGATGGGCTACCAAGATCTGGTCAATTTTCAGTCTTTGCTCAGAATCAGGAAAGATCTTCAGCAGGGCTTCCCGTAGCTCGCTGGTTTCTGCAGAAGACCTCTGTGCTGGCATGGGCAGGTTCTGTGGGACACTGGGCAGGTTTGGCAGGAGCGGAAAGTGGGACTGCTGAGGAAGCCAGTGGCTTGGAGAGGCTCCCTGAATCCGGCCTGGAGGCTGGTGGCTGGTGCTGGCTGCCTGGGTGCCAGGAATCCTGAAGCTGGGGTCAAACATGCCCACGTTCGGCAGGGCGTTGAGCAGGGGTTGCATATCTCTGTGAATGAAGTGAGTCTTGGTGAGAGCAGTTATGACATAAACAAGAAACCCCTCTACAGCATGTGCTGCTGATCCAAACCCTGATCCTTAAGATGCCACTCTCTGGTTAATAGGGAAGATACTAGACTGCCATGGAGGCAGCGATATCAGCAACTACAGGGGAGACCCGGGGACTCCACTGATACCCATCTCTAGACTGGTAAGGACAGGAGATGAGCTAGATTCGTCCCAGGCCTGCTGTCTGAGGGCTGACCTTATCCACCTGTTTTGGCAGTAAACCAGTGTATTCGTGGGAGAATTTTTTTAAAAATAGGGATCATAGTGTCCTTCTATTCTGGAGAGTATGATTCTGAATTAGAAAAAGGAGTCCTTTTGGGTAGAAAGGTAGCCACCTCAGGCTCATGGTTCCCCCTCCCCACCAAATAACAGGTGAGGCACTATAATGGTGCCCACAACCTGATGCAGATGGATATGGGGGAATGTGGGGGTACAGAGAGGGCATCTGTATTGTTTCAAAATCTTCCACCTGACACTGGCTTGCAGTCTAGAAATGGGGACTGGCTCAACAGTTTTCCTAATAACTTAAAAAGTAGTCCCTCGGGAAGGAAGAGACTATCAATTACTTACCACCTTTACAAAGAATCATTGGGTAAGAGATAAAAGGGCACAATGAGGAAGCAGAGAGAACTGTCCCTCTGTTCAGTCTGAACCACAGGCCCTGGACTCACACACAGGTCTTGGGGCAGGGAGTAGTGAGATGGGCTGACATGCAGCAGGTGTTGGAAATGGCTGCCATCCTCCTGTTGTGGGAAGAGAGCATGACCCTTGGGAACTAAGCCCTCATTTGCATAATAAAACGAAACACTCAAAGAGAAATGATCAGGGGACTTAAACTGTGTTGGTCTCCCTAGAAGATAATACCTCTGTGTGAACTCCCTTAACCACTACAAAGTCCAAACCTGGAGCCCCCAAAAGCTATGTTATAAATGGCAAAGATCAGCTGTGAAGTTTTACTAGGAAAGCAGCCAGGTATGGTGATTCATGCCCATAATCCCAGCAACTCAGGAGGCTGAGACAGGAGGATTTCAACTTTGAGGACAGTCTCAGCAACTTAGTGAAGACACTGTCTCAACATAAAAAATGAAAAGGGCTGAGAATGTAGCTCAGTGACAAAGTGTCTCTGGGTTCGACCCAATACCAAAACAAACAACAACAACAAAAACCAGGGAGAGCAGTGTTTTCCTCTCTAGAGACCTCCAGAACACTCTTATGCAAACATCTGCTGGGAGATACACAGAAGAATAACTAATTTTGGTTTAAAAAGAAAACAGGTCTGTCACCATATTCTATGATCTTCCATTTAGGCCCATGAAAGACTGATTAACATCTGTTACCTGAGAATTCTGAAAACAGAAATTACCATTAGCACTACCAATCACTATTTTCCTTAAAAACAAAACCTAAACTAATGAAACTACTAAACAATTTCAGGAAAATTTAATACTGGAGATGGTAAAAAGCAACTGTCAGTTCCCCCAGGTAGTGATTCTTGAACAGTAAAATACATTAACATAAGCATAATAAACTGACAGGAGGAGTTCAAGTTCAAGGTCAGCAACTTAGGAAATCTCTGTGAGGGACTGGGGAATATAGGACAAGGGTAAAGTGGCCTTGGGTTCTATCTCCAGTATCACAAAATAAAGATTATAATACCACTTTTACACTTTTAGTCTTTCAAAGATAGCACTTGAATATCGCACAAAAAATTTAAATGAAATAAACTTTTAAATATAAGACAGTCTAAATACCTAAGAAAGACCTCTTTCCGAAGAAATTCTTCTAATCGAGGTCCACTTCTTCCAAGAGGATCATCAGGAACCATAAATATGTCCCCCACGAATGTATACTGAAGCAATCTACAACACAGAAAAATCACACACTGAAAAAAACACTAATTCTTTATGGTTACAGCATATCAGATTATCTCAAAAGTTTTCACCCAACTGCAAAGGGATGATCAGCCTACCCAAATTCTAAGACAGCTTTACTGCCTTCAAAGGAAAAAAACCTATACTCAAATTATACTATTTTAATTTCTATTTTGAACACAAATTCAGCAGTGCTAGAAATTTTGCAATTTAGATATTTCTCTGGGTTTGGGAAGCAGCTTCTTTTTCTAATATAACTTAGAGAAACAAGATGTAAAGACTTTGGACCCAGAAGGTGATCGACAAAGATTTAACTTTTTAATGAAAATACATGCATCCATAGGCAAACCTACTGCAAATAACCTTTTTTAAAACAATGCAATATATAAAGAAAATCTAGTCATTAAGCATTACTTACCAACTATGGGAAAGGACTGGAGATGTAGCTCAGTAGAAGAGTGCTTTTACCTATAATGTATTAGGCTCTGGGTTTAATTCCTAGACCACCAAAAAATAAACAAAATTAAGAGCCTATGTTTGTTGTCCAGATTTAGGTATTTATGTATGTTTGTATATGTGTGTATGTATATCCAGATCTCAGTTTCTGGTTTGCTTTTGCAAATTCTGAACAGAAGCTGTATTGAGTCTCATTTAAAGTTGCCAACATGTAACAGGTGTGTCTAATACTGACAAGGAGCTCCAGGGCAAAGATCCTACAGAAACGTGTCCTAGAAGATTAATGTATGCTCATAAATTGCATAAAAGGCTAAGACTCATTCTTAGTTCAGTTATCACCAAAAGTTTTTTAACAGCACATGGGTCAAAATGCTATGTACTCATTTATAGCAAAGCTTTTTCTAAAATCCTCTAATGATTTAGCAAAATATATCAGACTAGAGGCAATTGTGAAACTTCAATAGAGACAAATGTCTAGTTACACTACTTACCAGTTATATTTGGCTCAAGGTACATTCATCTCATGTCTTAAGATTTGTGGGCTATCTGATTTTATCCTTGGTATGAGAGCAGACTCTTGCCTTTTGTTTTAAGTAACTGGACAGAGGATGCATGTTAATAAAAAGTCTTGGAAGCTTCAGTCTGCTGGGTTTGTTTTTGGTTTTTTATTTTGGGACAGGAATTGAACCTATGGGTGCTTTACCATTGAGCCACATCCCCAGCCTTTTTAATGTTTTATTTAGAGACTGGATCTTGCAGAGTTGCTTAGGGCCTTGCTAAGTTGCTGAGGTTGGCTTTGAACTCGTGATCCTCCTGCCTCAGCCTCTTAAGCTGCTGGGATTAGAGGCATGTGCTACCAAGCCCTGCAGTGTTTGCTGATCTTAAGGCAGTTTTCAGTAGTTGGACAATCACAGTATCAATACAAATGAAAAATTATAGCAGTGAATGCTAAATTCTTAACTTTGTTATTATTTATGGATCTAAACATGTTTTTAGTATAGATGACTATAAAAAAGCTCTTGAAAAGCATCAGATATGAAAAGTAGAAATATTCTCCCCGTAAGAAGTAAAACCCCAATCAGTATATTGCTTTTGGTCCCATCCTCTTGCTGGAATCACATTATTTCAGAGGTGAGATCTCAGTTGTCATGAAATCTAACCTTTCACTTCACAGCTAAGTAACTGAGGAAGGCCTCATGGCCTGACAAATTCTGCCATGGCAAGAGGGAAGTGCCCTTGTACTCCATCATGCCACAAAACTACACCTCATTTCATGTCTGAGAACACTGATCTCTCAGAGGACACCATGTGGACAAACACAGTGGGCCCTGACACACCACTCACTGGTTCTGAGGCTTTGAAAAGGGGGCCAACGACCTTGTAGATGGGGGGTATAGAAGAGTCTTTTGCAGGACCAATGTACACAGTGGACAGACAAAATGCAAACAAAAACAACAAACAATAACAAAAAACTTTTCTAACTAAAGACAAAGACGAAAATATTACCTTTTTGTAATAATTTCTCGCCAAGAGACTGACTCAGTCACAAATTCTCTGAAGTTATCATTTGTTACAATTATGCCACCAGTTTTGTCCGCTAAGTGTAGCAGAAACCTATGGTAATATAAGAGTTTAAAATGAGCAAACAGGCATCCCTGGCTTAGAGAAGCCATGTTATAATAAAAAATTTCTTCTTCTTAGGAAATGACCAAAGAATTCAACCAAGGCTAGAAAAGTTATGCCCCAGTCAACTGAAGATCAGTTAGAAATGAAGAACTCTAAAATTATTAGTGTTGTTATAAAAGAACTATTCTTCATAAAATCTAGTTTTAAAAAATAATTTATACATTTTTCTAGAAAAATTATATTATCAATAAACAATGGTAATAAGAATGAACAAGAGCCAGAGGAGAGAATGAATTAGAGGTGACAAGCCTGTGGAATCACTATTCAGCCTTTTAGCAAATAAGCTACAGTTTTTTAGTTCTAAGACTAGCTGCATGGTACAGTCAGTCTTGTATATATATATATTTTTAAATTCATAGGCTCATATTTTGTGCTTTGATTTAAGAAAAGAGAACTAGACCTGCCATTCTACTTAGCCTACACTACAGAGTCATTCAAATGGAAGTTATGAAAAGATACACAATGATGAAGAAGTAAGAAACAATAAAGAAGAATGCTGTTTCATTGCTGGAGATTACTCCTGTGGATCCTGTTAACATATTTTTAAGGACAATGTAAATTTCATCTCTTAAGTCAGGATCACCACATATGTCTAAGGCAATGTAGACAAAGACAATGAAACAAACGGAATCACTGGAATTAAAGGTGCCAACTAATAATAATTGTTATTAGCAGTATGTATTCAAAGGGCACTAAAAAAAAAAACCTCAATAGTTTCAGAGATCTTAAAAGACCTTGGAAATAAACTTGATTTAGTTCTTTATTAATGAATATTTTATAAATTATTTCTAACTGGCATGAATTTAAGTGGTGATATTTGTGTAGAGGTGTTAATAAAAGTAGGAACTAAGGCTTCAGTGAGTGTGCCACAAATCAGCACATGTACCCACGTCCTCCAAAACCCAGAGAACCATAGAAATCAAGCAAGAGCCTAGTCTGGGTGGGCTGGAAGACCTCAAGGCTTTTCCTGAATCCAGAAGCCCAACCTGCCTTTCAACCTGTACACTCCAGAGCCCTGCCCCTCACACAGGGCTGAGCATCTAAACTTAATGGTCATGAATATGAAAATCCTCAAACCTGAGTCAAGCAACTCAAGTCCTTTGAGAGTGTGCATCTGTCCAAAGGAACAGGTGGCTGGTTCCTCACCACCCCACTCCCACCTTAGAAAGGAAAATGGCCTTTCATACCTGTCATCATGAGAAGCAATTCTTTCTCCAAACACCATCCGGGCAGGAGTTAAAGATAATATTCCAAGCTCCTGGAGCTGGGTTAAGAAGTGCTGCTCTGTTCATGGAATAAGTTAAACACACACTCAGCAAAAAGCTATTTTCCCAGATGTGTAAATAAATGAAAGTACATCCAAATGTTTCACTTGGAGAGTTGTAGAAAACCTTTCTATTGATTCAGTATTACTAACTTACTGGGAAGAATTAATGAAAATGAAAAAGCAACAAGACAGACCCAAACCAAGGCAAATGCAGCATATGAACTAGATATATTTTTAACAATAAAAAGGTTCAACTCTGTTCAGTTCCTTAGCCCATTTGTTAATTGGATTGTTTGGGGGGTTTTTTGGTGTTAAGTTTTTTGAGTTCTTTATATTTCCCGGAGATTAGTGCTCTATCTGATGTGTGTGTGGTAAAAATTTGCTCCCATTCTGTAAGCTCTCTTTACCTCACTGATGGTTTCTTTTGCTAAGAAGCTTTTTAGTTTGAATCCATCCTATTTATTTATTCTTGATTTTATTTCTCATGCTATAGGCATCTTAAGAAAGTCAGGGCCTAATCTGATATGATGAAGATTTGGGCCTACTTTTTCTTCTATTAGGTGCAGGGTCTCTGGTCTAATTCCTAGGTCTTTGACCCACTTTAAGTTGAGTTTTGTGCATGGTGAGAGAGAGGGGGGCTTAATTTCATTTTGCTGCATATGGATTTCCAGTTTTCCCAGAACCATTTGTTGAAGAGGCTATCTTTTCTCCAATATATGTTTTTGGTGCCTTTGTCTAATATGATATAATTATATTTATATGGGTTTCTCTCTGTGTTCTCTATTCTGTACCACTGGTCTATTTTGATGCCAATACCATGCAATTTTTGTTACTTTAGCTCTGTAGCATAGTTTAAGTTCTGGTATAGTGATGCCACCTGTTTTATTCTATTTACTGAGGACTGCTTTGGCTATTTTGGGTCTCTTATTTTTCCAGATGAATTTAATGATTGCTTTTTCTATTTCTATGAGGAATGCCATTGGGATTTTGATTGGAATTGCATAAAATGTGTATAGTGCTTTTGGTAGTATGGTTATTTTGACAATATTAATTCTGCCTATTCAAGAATAAGGGAGATCTTTCCGTCTTCTAAGGTCTTCTTTAATTCCTCTCTTTACAATTCTGTAGTTTTCATTGTAGAGGTCTTTCACCTCTCATTGATTCCCAAGTATTTTATTTTTTTGAGGCTATTGTAAATGGGGTAGTTTTCCTAGCTTCTCTTTCAGAGGATTTGTCACTGATGTACCAAAAACAAACAATCCAATCAATAAATGGGCTAAGGAACTGAACAGACACTACTCAGATTATATACAAATGATCAACAAATATATGAAAAAATGTTCAATATCTCCAGCAATTAGAGAAATGCAAATCAAAACTACTCTAAGATTTCATCTCATTCCAGTCAGAATGGCAGCTATCACTAATACAAACAACAATAAATGTTGGCAAGGATGTGGGGAAAAAGGCACACTCATACACTGCTGGTGGGACTGCAAACTGGTGCAACCAATATGAAGAGCAGTATGGAGATTCCTTGGAAAACTTGGAATGAAACCACCATATGACCGAGGTATCGCACTCCTCGGTTTATACCCAAAGTACTCAAAAACAGCATACTACAGTGATGCAGCCACATCAATGTTTATAGCAGCACAATTCACAATAGCTAAATTGTAGAACCAACCTAGATGCCCTTCAATAGATAAATAAATAAACAAACTGTGGTCTATATACATAATGAAATATTACTCAATCATGCTAAGTGAAGTAAGCCAATCCCAAAAAACCAAAGGCTGAATGTTTTCTCTGATATGAGGATGCTGATCCATAATGGGGATGGGGGCAGGAAGCATGGGAGGAATGGAGGGTCTTTAGACAGGGTAAAAGAGAGGGAGGGAAAGGGAGGGGGCAGAGGGGTAGGAAAGATGGTGGGATGAAATGGACATCATTACCCTAGGTACATGTGTGAAGACACGAATGGTGTGACTCTACTTTGTGTACCACTAAAGAAATGAAAAATTGTGCTCCATATGTATACTATGAATTAAAATGCATTCTGCTGTTGTGTATACAAATCAGAATAAGTAGATTTTTTTAAAAACAGGTTCAACTCATTTGTTTTTTAGGAGTAAGCCACACATCTATAGTTGTCTGTACAAATATTTACGGATATTTATGGGTGTGGGTGATGACAAAGGAGAACTAGGGGCCAAAGCCACGTTTCAGACAACCAAATTCTCATACCCGCGGTCCCCTAATAATACTCATCACTGACTTAACTAAAATTCACACAATATATTTGATAGTCTTGGAAGTGTACATATATAAGAATTATTAAGACTCTTTCAGAGATCCAAGTTTCAAAAATAGCTTCAAAATGAGTGGATCTGTTTTGTTCTTCATGTACCTTCTGTTAGGAAAAATGCTCTCCAAAATGAAGGAAGTTGGAGTACCTGGGAAATGTGCAGTTTGACCACTTCCCACTTCACTAGTGACCCAAAGTCTCACTTCCTGCTTAATGTTGGACAAATTCTATGTTCACCCCAATCCCAAACTACCTTTTCTTTCTAAGTGCTCTAATATGTTAAGCTGTCTGGCAAAGCTTTTTCACTTGTCTTCCTATCATGACCTAAGACACAAATAACTGTTAAGTTTCTCTGGAATAATTTCATAAATCATAACAGGTTCCAACCTTTTGTGTGTGGTCTGCACAAAGTACTATATGGCTAATGATTTATATTAAAGTATTACTGTTGAAAAGACATTATATTTGAAAGTGCCAAACTTATCAAGTGGCCATTTTTCAAAAAATGCTATTTAAATAGTCAGAAATCTGGCCTAATAGAGGGCATATTTTCATTTTCAAAATGTCAAAAGAAAATTTTTGTGATGTACAATAAATTCTAACATAACTTTCAAACAACCATATGAACTTTTGCATCTTTCCTTCAATCACTTCTTATACTGTTGTACTCTTCAACTGATATCTTACTAGATGGAAGAGACTTAAAATTTTGTTGTTAAAAGATCCTGCCACAATACATGGCTCTAAGTACTATGTGTTGCAATTCTAAGCCAACTCATTAAAAATTTCTAATTAGAAATTTGGAAAAATTGGTTTGACTCACCTGTGACATTAGGATCACGCCTTGTTCTCCACTGAGGAACAAACACAGTAATGTTTCGGTTGCCAAGCTTCCAAAAATATTCAACAGCAATTGCAATTCCACGACAAGAGAAAAACTTTTTTAGACCATGGCTGTAAGAAAAATTTATTTAATTTGTTAGGTCCTCAGAGATTGTTAGTACATCATTTAACCTGCTCTTCACACCAAAGGCAAAACTTTCTGGTAAAGTAATACTTTAAATTTTCAAAAAGCCATTCCTAAAGAGAGAACTACTGGTAGCGTTCCTTCTCACATGTGATCGAGTGCAGGAAGTGTAGTGGTTTCAGTCCTGTTTTCCTTTTCCTTTTTTTTTCCAGTTTCCTAATCCCGATTATACAAAACATACTTTGTGAATTTGATATTCACAGAATTGTGCCATTAATACATTAATGGAAATGTATATGTCAAACACTTAGCTGTTTATTGACACGAGACTGGTTAAAAAAAACACAGGTATATCCATGTTTTTCTTATGCTATATCCATGTTTTTCTTATGCGTATGTTTGAAGCTAGTGAACTGTTTGTCACAATATATTTTTGTGGTATGTAAAATGCAGCTAGCTTATATAATTTAAAATTTGGTATGAGTTTATTCATGCCTTATCTCTCACTTTTTGAGTAAGTGAAAAATTTGGGAGTTTGAAAATGTCAAATTCATAAATAAAAGAACAAAATTCCCTGTAATGATCTTTTACCATGGGGGAAGGGGTCAGTGGCAGAGCCTACTACTTCACAAAACCAAAAGAGACTCCACTGAAGGAGTTCTGTCTCTCAATATGATAGTCTTATGGTTTTCCTTGTATTTTGGTTGATTTAATGGATGTGCTGTTTTGGTATAAGGTAATGAGCTTCATGGTAAATTTGTTAGTTAATGCAGTTTTTTTTCCCCCTTTAACCCAGTATCTGGGGATCACGAGTTCAAAGTCAGGCTCAGCAACCTAGCAAGGCCCAAAGCAACTAAGTGAGACCCTGTCTCTAAATAAAATGCAAAACAGGGCAGGGGATGTGGCTCAGTGGTCGAGTGCCCCCGAGTTGAATCCTTGGTAATCGCCACCCAACTTTCCCCGCCCCCAAAAAAAGAGTTCATTCTACTAGGGGGAAAACACTAGTATTTTAAAATTCTGACTAGTCACTGGCCTCCAAGAATCTCTAAGAATCTTAAAATTTGTTGCTAAAGCAGAAACTAGTTTAGTAGCTATGATGTTTATACCCCATGCCTGCCCGTGACAGAAGAATAGTTTAAGATTTGATATTATGACATGATGATCACTATCACAATGACCAAGGAGTTGCCATCACCAGCTGGACTCCAGCCTCTTTGGGAGAACTGTAAAATCTACCCAATTTAAAACTTACAACAACTTTTTTTTGGGGGTGGGGGACATATTGGGAATTCAACCAGATGCTTTACCACTGAGCTACATCCCCAGTCATATTTTTGATTTTAAGACACGGCAGAACTTATGGGAAATAATTTAAGGGCAAGAATCAAATGAAACTAATAGAACCTTGAAGGAAGCAGAAAAAAGGGAAAACAAGTAAACATACAAGAACAGGCCAACAGACTTTTTCTGTGAAGGTCAATATGATCTGTCTCACCACTCAACTCTGCCAGAAAAGTGTGAAAGCAACCACAGGCAAATAGTTGTCAATGAGCCCAGTGTGGCTGTGTTCCACATTCGGTCAGGTGGTCTCTTGTTATTCCATTCCTCCTGATGCCTGACCTCTGAGCTCCCTCCTCCCACCCCCCTTTTTAGTATTTTTTTAGGCAAGTACTCTGCCACTGAGCCACAATCCCAGTCCCACCCCCCACCCTGTTTTTTGGTAACAAGAATTGAACTGAGGGGCGCTTGATCACTGAGTCACATCCCCAGCCCTCTTTTGTATTTTATTTAGAGACAGGACCTCGATTTTGCTGAGGCTGGCCTTTGAACTCGAAATCCTCTTGCCTCAGCCTCTTGAGCCCCTGGGATTACAGACGTACGCCACTGGACCTGGCTGAGCTTTCCTGTTTGTTGCTTGCTTTGTGTGCAATGCTCTTGAACCTTCCTTGCCTACTCTATCCCAGTCCTCCTATGAAGCTGTCTCTAGACACAAGTCCTTAATCAGCCCCTTCCTCTCCTCTCACTTCCTCCCCTGCTCTGCAACAGAATCAGAGATGGAGTAAAATTTAGATTCTCTATTAGAGATAAGAAGATAACCCTGACAGACAGCATGATCTGCCTGGGTTACCCCGCCAGAGGGTGGATATGCTAGATCTCACCCGCTGGCTTCCTCACACCTGGCCAGTCCTTTTCCCTTCCCATTACTGCACATGGTTGTGTCACTTCAACTGCACCTCTAACACCTGAGAGGAGGCATGGGCTGAACACTCAACCAACAGCTAGGGTGGGGAGAGATACAGAAGAGTTGCTCACAAACTTCTCTTTTTAGAGGCTGGAGTTTACTCTCTTTTTCAGGGAATCATATATACAGATGATAGAGGCTCTTATCCAAACACAACTGCAAGTAAACAAACTCATTCTCAATAAAATAATTCAGGAGTGGGTGGCTTATCTAAAGGCATTCAAATATGGCAAGGATACAGCAACAAGACATGTGGTGGTGGTGGGGAATGGGAGAACGTGTATTGTTTTTAAAGGGCACCCTTTTTTATTAGCAAGGACAGGCCTGTAGTTAATGCTATCTAGCTCTAAAATAAAAATCTAAAATACAACAACCAAAGGGTACATGTTTATCCCTAAAAAGGCTAACCCATGACGGAAATGTACTAAAAAGCTAGGAGTGGTGGTGCGCGCCTGGAATCCCAGTGACTCGACTCTGGAGGCTGAGGCAGAAAGACTGCCAAATTTGAGGCCAACCTCAGCAGTGTAGTAAGATCCTGTCTCAAGATTAAAAATAAAAAGAGTTGGGGATATAGCTCAAGTGGTAAAGTGCTCCTAAATTCAATCCCCAGTATACCCCCAGCCCCCACAAAAGGGAACCTCACAGAGGTGGATGCAGCGGCACATGCCTGTAATCTCAGCTGTTCAGGAAGCTGAGGCAGAAGAATTACAAGTTTGAGGCCAGCCTGGGCAATTTAATGAGACCTTGTTCTCAAAAGTTTAAAAAAAGGGTTGGGGATGTAGCTCAGTGGATGGCTTGCCTAGCATACATGAGGCTCTGGGTTCAACCCCCAGTCCGGGGCCGCCCCGTTGGGGAACTTGTAAAGTACCTCTTTTTCAATAGACAGAAATGTATATACTACCAGCTTTTCATATAATGATTCTGCTTGACAACTGTAGAAACTGAATGGATTGAAACAGCATTCCACTGAGTCAAGTTGGGGATACAGATAAAGGAATGCTGTTGTCCTGGACCCCTCACAAATGCAAGCTAGTGGGGGAGGGGAGAAAGTTCTTGGAAACATTAGATCAGCTCCGATTTCCAATGATGTTTTTTGTAAAAAGATCAAATCATTTTTGCTACTCTGAAAAATCTCCAGAGCTGGAGGAATACTGCTTCTAAATTATGGCAAAGAAATAACAGATATGCCCCAAAAATAAAACTACAGGGAAAAAAGAAAAAATGTTAAGTGGAAATAAATTGTTGTACTGAAAATATTACCAAAAGCCCCGTTAGGAATCTTTCCTATTTCCAATTCCAACATCTTGACTAAGCAGATGTGTTTAATACTCACTGCCTTTCAACCTCTCTGCATTGACATGGAAAGGCTCATTGTTGGAAGGTAAGCCCAGACCAAGGGTTTGCCTTGACCTAGAGACAAGCATATATTTAACATACACAGTATACTTTGGGGAAGACCAAAACTATGGGGTTCCCAGCTCCAAGTGCAGAATGAACAACGCTTTTGTTTGGAAGGCAGATAGATAGGCTCTCAAGGGAGATTTGAATTCCCATCCCATGTCACCGGAAACAAACTCTGTCTTTTGGTTGTTTTCCATATTAGAGCAGGGAGTCAACTTAAAGGAAGTGTGTCCAAAGCATGAGAGATGAAAGACAGAAAAAGTCACAACAGTCATAGAAGAAGACAGGGGAGTATCAGAAAACAGTGCAAAGTTCTTTCTCAGTTACCCAGGAAAGAGTTATTTCCTTCTATAGCTCCCACTTAACAAAGATAACCCTGAAACCCAATATTGAAAGATGAGCATTAAAAAAGGCTTAAAAAAAAAAAAGCATAGTTCAACAACTGAGGGGTAAGCTTCATCTACATGGAAAATTATCAACTCAGACAGGTCAGGTGCTCTTATGCTGAAGTTTCGGGTTGACAGAGTCCAAATGTTCCTTGCCACTACTGTGATATCTAGCCATATACCGCAAACAGTTTCCACTGACTCATCATTTGACTCATTCATGGTGACAGGGGGAAAAATTAGTAAAGATATACATAATCAGCAGCATAAAGTAGGGTATTTTGGAATTTCTCACTGGTTTTTATGGGCCGGAGACATCATGCTGGCTAACTAATTAAACAAAGGCTTTGCAGAAACCCAGGGAAGAGTGGGCCTGAGCTCCTTTCAGGTGGAGTTTATACCAACAGAGCCTATTGCCTAAGGACTTAAATTTCCTTTTCTTAAAAACTACTTCCTCAACTAGTTAGGTCAAATAAGTACGGTTTATTTAGCAGTGGTTACACAAACACACAACTTAAGTCTCCAATGATGCCAAGCCTGAAAATTCTAACCTCAACTTCTGTGAGAGGAGACAGGGCTGCTCTGAGCAGAAACATATCAGGTATACAGCCCTGGACAAGCTTTTTGAACTATTTCACATTATATAAGTTACAGATCATTTTTGCCTCATAAAACTGATAATTGCATTAAAAAATGTAATACCAGACATAACAGGTATTTTATCTTTAATTTCATTATATTTACTTAATTAACTAATGGCCTCAGTTAAAATTTGATCTAAATTGATCAATAAAATGGTCATGTTTTCCAACTTAATTCACTGAGATAAATCTGATTAAAAATTCAACTATAGAAAACAATCATTTGAAAGTGAGCAATTCAATGGCATCTAGTACATTAAAATTCTATGTCACCACCACTTATACCAAGTTCTAAAATATTTCCTCAAAAATAAAACCCAATGCCCATTAAGAGTTTCCCACAAAAAAGGTTAATTTTAATTACTGACATTTTCAGATCAATCTATATCCAATAAGTATAACTATGGGCATCACATCCTTTTTTTAAAAGCATTGCTTTTAAATTAAGACATTTATGAATTCAAAGAAAATTCAAACTCTTCCAAAAATAATCACTTTTCAGAGAGAATTAGTGAAAGCTTGCAGGTTTCCCTTACTGCACTGATTGGTGGTTTTCAAAGGAGATTTGGCACTGTGCTCAAGGATGATAGGCAATATGTGCTAGTGTTTTGGGGTTTCACAATGACCAGAGAGGGGGCACTATGAACAAAATTCGAGGAATCAGACACACAATATCAGATGGTACCACCCTAAATTCCAATAGTGATCCCTTAGAGAAACAGGCTACTTACTCCTCCAGAACGTTTTTAGAAGCAACTGCTTAGTCTAGTTAATTTGCATTCTTTTTTTTGAACATCAATTTGGGAAATCTTTTCACATACAGAAAAAAAGTTTCTGAAAAAAGGATTAGTTAGTATTAGTCACGGCCATGACTTAAAAATTTTATCATCACATGGCTCAAGAAATCCTAACCAAAAAAGAAAGAAAGAAATCCTTACAATGAAGAACTGGTGCTGAGCCTGAAACTCCACTTTAGATTTTTATTTAGATAATGCTAGGCAGCTGTGGGTCATTTACTGGGTTTCCCCCAAAATAGTTGCCAAAAAAAAAAAAAAACAACAACAACAACAATGAAAACTGACAATAAATAGTATTATTTAGAGAGGAAGACAAGTATATTACATATTTTTATGGCCAATCTTCAAACTTTAACATATGAATTGCTGGCATTTTCCTTTATTCTTTGGACAGCAAAGACAACACCAACAATTCATTCAAACAAATAAAAAGCAGCTGCAGCAGACATGGTGGTACATGCCTGTAATCCCAGATACTTGGGAGGCTGAGGCAGGAGGACTGCAAATTCAAGTCTTGGCAACTTAACAAAACCCTGTCTCAAAATCAAAAATAAAAAGGGCTGGGGATGTAGCTCAAGGGTAAAGTGCCCCTGGATTCAATCCCCAGTACCAAAATAAATATGAGTGAATAAATAAAAATAAAATAAAAAGCAGCTTGATGTTGTGGTGCTCACTTGTAATCCCAGTTTTACAGGAGTTTAGGGTATGAGGATTTAAAGTTAGAAGCCAGCCTGGGCAACTTAGTAAAAACTTGTCTCAAAATAAAAAAGATTTGGAGATTTAGCTCGTGGTAGAGCTCTTGTCTAGCTTGGATGAAGACCTGGGTTTGGTTCCTAGGACTGAAAAAGTAAAAAAAATAAAAAGCAGAATAGTCCTTATATTAAAAAAAAATAACAACAACAACATACTAAAGACCTTCCATGAGACTCCAGGCTTGCCAGGGAGCTGGAGGATTGGCTAGATGCAATGAGCAAGCCTGAAGAAGCTGGCGGCAGGGTTCTGGGAGGTGGGAATCAAGTTGAGCCTCAACTACACCTGCTCTCCCCACTGCTGTTTATAGCCACAGATCCACACTTCTCCATAGCTGTGGGCCTCAACCTGAGCCACAAGGCAACCAAGAACATGAGCAGGCAGAGACAAGTTGCCACAGTGGACACTTTGCCAGACACACCAAGTTCGTGTGAGACGTGATCAAAGAGGAGTGTGGCTATGCCTTACAAGAGCAGTGTGCTATGGAGCTTCTCAAGATAAGATGCCCAGGGGCAAACGGGCCCTCAAGCTCATCAAGAAGAGAGCAGGGATACAGATCTGCACTAACAGGAAATGAGAGGAGGTGACCTCACCACCCTAAGAAAAACAGCTGCCAAGAAGAACTACACTCCTCTCCCCTCTTTGTGTAATAAAACCTTTACAGAAAACATTCAGAACAGCAACAACAACAAATATGAAAATATTTCTGGATAAAATGAGGGCTGAAGAGTAGCTCAGGAGTAGAGCACCCGCCTTGCAAGCACTGCAATAAACAAGCAAACAAACAATATGGGTGTAAGGCAGTAGGAGAGAGTACAGATAAAACAAAAATTACAAACATATATAATGAACGTCAATAATTTTAATTTTTCAATTTCAATAGGTATTTCTAAAATTTCAGGACATTAATTGAACTTTTAGAACTCCTGGGATAAGGGGTCACACATTCAAACAATGCATAAAAAGTATATTTAAGATCTGGCAACCTTTCCCTCATTCCATGTGCAGACGTCCTATGTCTTGAATGGTGGCTTCCTAAAATGCTAGGCATTGAAGGTCCCTATAAATTTGCCCCCAGTTGCCCCTGATTTTTGAATTCATACATGTAGTGAACTACAACCTAGATCTACAAAATAAACCCCAACCTAGCTGAAGAGTACATTCATGTGATAGACAAGTCTCAGTTAATCGCAGCAGCTGAATTTTAGCCAACCACAGGCTGCCAACTGATCTGATCATGTCCACATAAGGCAACTGTCTCATCACACCATTCCCAAATAAGGCAAACGTACAGCTACAATCAAAATTGTTTCTGTATATCACTTCCCTTTTTCTGCTTGTAAATCCTGCTGATAGCTGAAGCTCTCTGAACTTCTGGTTCTGAATGCTGCCCAATTCATGAATCAAATCTTTGCTAAAATTAATTCTCCAAATATACTTTAACTAAAGCTTATGATAATGGGGTGAGAGTACGACACTGGAGAGAAAGTACCTAGCAAGTTGAAATGGCATGATAAAGATGTCCTTAAGGGCAGGTGAAAAGACAAAAGATTTGAAGCAAATAAAGCTCAGAAGTACCGAGTGACCTAACCAAAATTAAACAGCTCCAAGGTGGGGTGGAGACTCTGATCATCATATTCTTCTTAGGCACTATGCTAGAATGTCCCTTGGAGAAGCAGCCTAATCTTACAGTAATAAAACCAGAATCCTAACAGGAGATCCAAGACAGGCTAAATAGACATTCCACATTTATTTTTGTTTTAAATAAAAACAAATATTACAAACTTTTAGGAAGAACACAGCACATAATGAAGCTCAAACTAATTTCCTTAAGAAGGAAACTATCAAAAGTACAATAGAAATATATCACACCTATTACCACTGTATACTTTTGGTTAGTGACAAAGCATACTCTAGCATAAATAGAAAAACATTTTTTTTTTTTTGGCTCCACACTTGTATTCAGAACCTAATGGCACTCACAGGACTGATAATATAACAAAAAACTCTCTAGACTGCACTATCATTAGGCAATACAGTGTAAATTTTCTAACATTTCCTGCCCATAGGAATGTAAGTTTAGGAGGGCGAAGTGTAAAGTTCATGACTCTAGAAGATGAAATGATGAAACCTTTCCAACTGGTTATTGGAGATTCACCTCAGATTCACTAGACACATGCATAGGGTTTCTATATACATGTATGTAATTCCAAGACACTACTTAGAGTACTATGCAAAACTATAAAATAATTTGCAGATAAGAGGACTTACGTAATTGCAACATTGCTTCCATCTATAACAATATGCTTCAGGTCCATTCTCCCTGGTTCGTTTTTTAATTCCAGCTTGTAGGGTACTTTCAGAGTATCTCGAAACCTTTGAACCCCTGTAACTGAGGAATCAATATGATCAGAAGGTCCTGTCAATCTTGCATCAGTAACTGAAGGTAATAGCTGTGGCAGCGGCATTGGTGGAGAAAGGGGTGGACAATTTGGCTTAGACTGAGGAGAGCTACAATGTCCTGGACGTTTTTCACAGGCAGATTTCATATTATTTGAAAGCAAGGGTTCTGCCTGCTGTTGAAAACCATTTTCAGGAAAAACTGGAATTCTGGGCTGGTGACTTGAAGCTCCCCTTGAAACAAAACTGACATCTTTGGGACTTGAAGGTGCAGAGGGTAAACGGCCATCAGTTTCAAGGTCTATGTTACAAACATAGTTCTGGTTTGAACCCCAGATTTCACGTTTTTGTTCTATTGGCACTGTTCTGAAGGTATTAATTTTGCAATTTGAGGTACAAGGCTTACCTTCTACTTTGAATGGTAACTGAGAAAATTTTTCTACCGTATTTTGCTGAGTGTGACTCTGTGTTTTCTTTGGAGTGGAATCTGTTGTGAGCTCATTAATACTGCTACAAACACCTTTACTTTTGGTTTTGTTGGTGTCTGTAGTACTAGGTGAAAATTCTCTGTTTTCTTGAAACCTTTTATTTTCTTTTTCAATTTCCTCCAAGAGCAATAATGGTTCGGTAGAAGGCCCAAACTCCCTAATGACCTTTTCAACAATTTCTTGAGAATAGCCCATGGTTTTAAAAAAGTTTACGAGGATATTGTATTCCATTTCCTCAGTAGTGTCTTTTACATCTGGACTTAAATTTTCAGAATCAGTAGAAGAATCAGATAGGTCAATGATTACACTTCCAGAGGATGTCTTATCATCGTGTAAAAGTTCTCCTTCTTGAACATTTTCTAAAGAAAATTGCTTCTTGGTATGCCTTTCCTCAGAATCAGAAAATCTCCTTTTGTGACAAATTCTCTCTTTGGAAAGTGCCTCTTCATCTGGGCTTAGGCCATTTACAGGAACAAAAAGCACATCTGGTGAACTAGAAAAGACAGTGTCCATTTGTTTTGTAAGCTCAGAAACAGGAGTCCCAGCTTTATTTCTTTCATCTTCCTGCAAAACAATTTCATCTCTAGAAATATTCAGTCCTGTGGCAGCATTCTGTGTAAACTCTGTATGTTGAGCATCTCTAATTTCAATAACATCATCATCTCCCGTTTTAAATAGATTTTCCTCACCTTGTGTGAGAGTCAAAAGTTCTTTTTTTAAGGAAGTGGGCAAAATCAACAAATCCATTGTAAAATTATCTGCATGGGCTTCAACAAATTGTTTAAATTCCCTTTTCACCTCTGATTCTTTCTGACTACTGGGTAGGTTCTCATTATTCTCAAAGAGCTTTACAAACTGCTGAATGTGACTCCTAGCCATAACTACAGCCTCAGCACTCCCTCTGATGCCAAGAAGACCAATATCAAGAACACAGAGGTCAGCACAAGTATCCTGAATCAAGCTCTTCAGAAACAGGCTCTGTGCCCCAACAAAAATGCAGTGCATGGCCTTGGGATAATATTCTCTTTCTTCTAGTTCAGGTTCACAGATTCCTTTGATATATTCCTATAAAGAGAGGAAAAGAAATTAGATCAATTTACAAGAGTTTCTCAACAGCACATATTAGGTTACATGTATACTAACAAATGTTAATGTGACTTCACATAACATCATAAATATGTTTATAATTTTGGGGAAAATATCACACAGTTTCCATAAAATGAGATTAACATATATAAACCATTTAATCATCTTTGGAGGAAATGAGAATTTTGCATCTGTATCTAAGAGACAGATACTTAAACGTTTTAATTGTGTGTCTTGCAGTATGATCTTAGGAATTTGACTAAATGGATAATCCAAAGGCTAGATTTACTTAGATTAGAGAACAAACGTATTTGCCTGTTACCAGTCATTTATTACTACAAGGACATAATCAAGAGATTACATAATAAAGTCAAATGATTTATTAGAGAACAAATTTTGACTTTTGCATTGCTAGCATTACTCCTAGTTTCCAGATGAAACAAACACTATTACCCTTTGTTTCCAGATTTCTTGAAGGTATTCAGAGAACATGATTAATTTAACAAAAATCATTTCTTCCAGCTGCTTGAAATAATCTATACCCTATATAATTTTATGTCTGTTTTCTAAGAAAGGCCAAACTTTAAATCTAAAAACACAATCACCAGAAAATGCTAAAACATAATGTTATTCTCAGATACTGGTACTGAAGGAGGCCTAAACAAGGTAGGCATGTGAACTGGGTTTCTCAGCCATCAGCTGCTATGAAGGTAGAAGAGCAAATCAAGTAAGCAAACACACACGGAGAGCGAAACACATTTGTGTATACAGCCAACTTTTGTTCTGCAGTTCACGTTTTGGTCTTAAATTCCAGCAATAAACCCAGTTATTGCTCAAGTTACCTAACTTATGCCCAGTTTCTTCAAATGTAAAAGAGGCAAGAATAGCAATCATAGGGGGTTTGCAGACTTCAAATAAATAATGAATATAAAGTCCTAATACTATACCTCACACATAGTAAATGCTTATTAAATACTTACATTATCAATGAAAATTTTCTGGAACTGATATTTGTGAGAATAAGCATGGCACCATAACTAATCCATACTTCAGGTACAATCAGAATGGCTTTCCTAAGCTAAATACCTATAATTACAGTGACTGGGGAGGCTGAGGCAAAAGGATGGCCAAGTTTGAGGCCAGTCTCAGCAATGTAGTGAGATCCTGTCTCAAAATAAAAAGTAAAAAGGGCTGAGAATGTAGCACTCCCGACTTCAATTCCCAGTCTGTCTCTCTCTCACACACAGAGAGCATTAACCCAAATAGTAAAAAGTTTCACATGTGTATCACCTGTCAGAAAGAGGGTTTGTTTACCATAAACTTGATGCTGCTATAACACATTATCTTATATTTAGAACTTATATTCAAATATGAGTGCACATTCTTTGTGCATCTATTATTTAAAACCATGAAATTCCTATAGATGAAAAACTACAGAGGAGAAGCTTGAACTAAGTGTTATGATGTTCAGTTGGGTTCTTTGCTCCCTCACATCTCTTGAATGTGCCTGGACAGAGAAGCCATTTTTAAAAGCAAAATTTGCTATTTTTTTAACATAGCAATTTTGTTAAATCAAGGTATAACAACTTATCATGCTTTCCTACTGAATGCTCAAACACAGTGTTAAATACTGGTGTAAGTATCCTTGAAAGATTTCCAAATAGGCAACATTTGGCTAGTACATGTTTGTACTTATGCTGTATTCAGGTTGAAGGGTAATTAAAAAAAAAATTTTTTTTTTAAACAAATAATAGGTAGTACACACTTCCTTGGGTACTCTTCTAGTTTCATCTAACCACTTCATTTTATATAAGGATGATAGACTATCAAAAGCAAGCATCTACATTGATACTATGCCATTTTATCACATGAATAGCTTTAAAAACTACCATTTCAATGGATTCAGAATTATTCCATTACCCAAAAGATTTCCTTCATGTTACTCCTTTACAGTCACCTTTAGGTTTTATTCCCTGACACCTTCTAATCTATTTTCATCTCTATAATTTTGTGATCTCATGAATGTTACATAAATGGAATTATGTAATATGGGGCTTCTGACAGTTTTTATATGGACTCAGGTTTTCAATTTTATGGGACAAGTACTTAGGAGTACAACTAACAGAAAACACAGTAAGTGCGTATTTAGATTTTCGTATTTAGGACAAACTATTTTTCCTGAATGGTCACACCATTTTACTTTCCAAGAACATATAAAAGACATCCAGTTTCTCCACAATCTTGCTAGCTTCTGATTTGCCACTATTTTTCATTTCAGTCACTCTAACAGGAATGTAATATTATCTCATCTTAGTTTACATTTTCTTACTGAGTAGTGATGCTGGATATTTTTCCATGTGCTATTTACCATGTATATATCTTTTTCTAAAAAAATGTTTTGTTTATTTAGTTTGTCCATTCTCCAAATGGATTTTTTTATACTGTTGAATTAAGAGTCTTAGTCTTTTGTCAGATATGTGGTTCATTTTCTCCAAGTAGAGTCTTTCTGTTCATCCGTTCAATAGGGTGTTTTGTGACAGTCATAGCTATTAATTTAACCTTCAAGAAGCCCTAGGTCTTGAGGATCTCCCCTATGTGATCTCAAAAAAGTTTTACCTTGAAATTTATGATCTACTTTGAGCAGATTTTTCTGCATGGTGTGAGTTTAGGTTAAGATTCATGTTTTTGCTTTATGGATTATCAAATTGTTCTAGTACACCTTCTTCAAATGAAATTTCAAGGACTATCTATGTGAAAAATCAATTAATCACACACAGCCTGGCATGGTGGCACACACCTGTAATCCTCGTTACTTGGGAGACTGAGGCAAGAGTTAAGTTCAAGGCCAATCTCTGCACCTCAGCAAGACCCTGTCTCCAAATACAAAACACTAGGGATGTAGCTCAATGGTAGAGTACTCCTGGGTTTGAACCCAAATATCCACCCCAAAATCAAAAAATTAGCCATACCTTAGGAAGCTATTTAGGGGCTCTCTATTTTGTTCCATCAATTCATGTATCTATCCCTTATCAATACCAGTTTTGATTACTGTAACTACACAATATGTTGAACTTGGGTAGAAACTATTCTTACTTATTCTTTTTAAAATTGTTATTTTAGTTCCTTTGCTTTTCCATACAAAGCCTAGAACAATCTTTTACTACATATAAAAAATATCTTGCTGGAATTTTGTCAGCAATTGTGTTAAGCCTGGATTACTGCCATCTGCTGGGTCTCCTGATCCATGAATCTATCATGTCTCTCTATTTATTTGCTTTGCTTTCTTCTTTGAGCAGCACTTTTAGTTTTGATTAGAAAAAAGTCTTGCATAATTATGCTAAATTCACACTTAAGTTAGTATTCTTTTCTTTCCTCTATTTATTACTATGTTGCTCAGACTGGTCTTGTGATTATCCTCCTTCAGCCTCCTTAGTACCTGGGATTTCAGGCTTGTGCCAGTACACCCAGCAAGTTTTTCATTTTTTAATTATAAAAGGTACAGTATTTCAAATTTTGATTTCTATATGTTCACTGCCATATGACTGTAATTCCAGACACACAGGAGGCTGAAGGGGGAAAGCTGGTAAGTTCAAGGCCAGCTTGAACAACTTAGTGAGAACCTAGCTCAAAATAAAATTTGGTAGGGATGTAGCTCAGTAGTAGAGTTTGTATTAGCAATATGAGAGATCCTGGGCTGTCTCCAGTACCAGGGAAAAAAATTATCTATAACACACTTTTCCATGTTGTTGTCCTGCCACCTTCTTGAACTCACCTATTTCTAGTCCAGGGTTGTGTGTGAGCACTTCCCTGTACAATTTCTATGTAGACAATTATGCCATCTGCCACTATTTCTTCTTTTCTATTTACATGACTTTTATTTTCTTTCTTTCTGTAATGGAAAGTCTAGCATTATGTTGAAGACTAGTGTCGAGAGATGACATACTTGTCTTCCTCATGATCTAAAGGAGAAAATGTTCTATCTTTAAGTATGGTGTTAGATGTAGACCTTGCACAGATGGTCTTTATCAGTTGAGAAAGTCACTCAGCATTCCTAGTTTCTAGGAACATGAATATGAATAGGTGTTGTAATCTGTCAAATGGTTTCCTGCATTAATTGTTATAATTATGGACTTTTCTCCCTTATTCAGCCTATAAATAAGGTGGGTTTACACTAACTTTTTGAATACAGATCAAGCCCTATACACCTCTTTTTAATTTATTGAATTCTATTTGTAAAAACTTTGTTAAGAACTTCTGCATCTAAGCTGAATGTGGTGGTTCACATTTGAAATCCCAACAACTTGAGAGGATGAGGCAGGAGGACTGTAAGTTTGAGGTCAGACTCAGCAACTCAATGAAACCCTCAGTAAATTAGCAAGATCCTGCCTGAAAATAAAAAGGTCTGGGAATGTAGCTCAGTATAAGGCACCACTGATTTCAACTCCTAGTACCACCCCCCTCCAAAAAAGAACTTTTGCATCTATACTCATGAAAGTCTTCTGTTTGAAGTTTTCCTTTTGGGCCTCAGTACCACAAAATACCCAAACAAATGAAGTTCACACAGCAGTCCTTTTTGGTACTGTCTTTGGTTTTAACATCAGGGTAACATTAGCCACAAATGGGTTAGGAAGTGTTCTCTCTCACATTTCCTGGAAAAAAAAATATGTAAAACTGAGGTTAATTCTTTTTGAAACATTTAATAGAAGTCTCAGTGAAACAAGTATGCCTAGAGAGTTCTTTTATGCCCATTTTAAAATTCATTCAATTTCCAGGGGCTGGGGCATAACTCAGTGGCAAAGCACTTGTTTAATTCCTGGGAGGCCCTAGGTTTAATACCTAGCACCAATAAACCAACCAACCAACAAACCCATTCAATTTTCTTAATAACTTAAAGTTATTCAAATGATCAGTTTTACATGGGGCAAAGTCATGGCAGTTTGCCATTTTTGAGAATTGGCCAATTTCAACTGAGTTGCTAAATTTATGTATGCAGAG